TTGGTTAGATAAATAAGGAGGGATAGAATGAAAACAATAATTAACAGTTATTAATTAATAATAGCATGTGTTAATTATTAATTCTAGCCTAAACTATACTATTAACAACAAAATAGACTAATTATATGTAATCAACATTAACTTTGACAAGATAATTATTAATTAACAATGATCGCTAATCAATTACTAATGATCAAGATTAACAAATGTGGATATCCTCATCCAGCATCTTTGTGAAATATTGCCTCTTCCAGCCGCCCCATCCACACATGCCCACAAACCAAACACATTCAAAAGTTAAATCGCCATATGTCGTTTAGAAATATCGCTCCAACCAACTACACCCTTTGGCAGGAATTGCTGAATTGATATGTTCTTTATGCACATTTGACATGTATATCATGATGAAATCAATTACCTCGCACAAACTTTCATATGCACAAATATATATGTCATTTTCGTCTAAATGATCTCATCATATGTTTGTAAGAGTTCTGAAGTCTGTAAAATTCCCATTCCTAAGATTAACAATATCTTACTTTCAGATCTAGGGGGAGTGGATCTAACAGCCTAGGCAAGCCTCATTCAGAAGTCAATGCTGAAATTTACCACAGATTCACGTGGATAAATTCACATCGTAAAATAACATTTGGTCGCAACACACAGCTTTATATCAACATGTATTCGCTTGAAACTGCCTGATCAGAGAAATCAATGGATGTGATGCATCGAAGGATAAATATAAGCATGGTATTGCGCAAATGGATTCTTATAAAGATCAGCTGGAAAATTTAAACCTGATGAGGGTAAATGAGACTAAAAAACTTTTAGCTGACTAAACGACTCCAACACTCACCGACCTGTTGTCAACTGCTCAGGAGCAGGTTGAGACCTGAACGAATAATATATTTACAGAAGCAAGCATGAGCTGGGGAAGTTAAATTAATTAACAATTATATGTAGTATTTATGTCTAACCTTTCATGAAGCCAAGAGACAACAGTAAGATTTTGGATACCCTGAAGATATCGAGAGAATATACTTAATCGCTCCCAAAAGAATGATTTTATAAAATTGAGATGGAAATTGACTATCGAACATGACAAACACTTCAGAAATGAGTATCTTTATTACGCGCTAGATTTAGTATCGACCAATAGTGAGTTGGATTCGTCAAACATAATACAAAATGTTGGATATATGATGCACTAAATTGCAAAGAACGAATCATAAATAATCAATATATAACATTGAGAGTAACAGGGAGAGTTGGCTATTATAAGCATGCAACAAAGAGTGGCACACGAGACCAAATACTCAAAATAATGTTAGGAAACGATAAGCGAACAAACGATAAATAACAATAGATCAATCACAGAAGACACGAGATTTAACGTGGAAAACCCTCCCAAAACAAGAGAGAAAAAACCACGGGCGCCAGCCAGCAAAATATCTTCACTATATCTGAGGTGAGGTTACATCGCCGCACGACGGCTTACAAGAGGTATATATATGGTGAACCCTATAAGGGATGACGATCCATACCGCGGCTCCGCCCCCGCACCCCCGGGCGTCCCTAGGCGCACCGCGAAGGTTGAAGCTGGCCTTTATTAAGTGCAAATGAATTTGGATCACAATTCAACAAACTCCACCTTGAGACAAATTCCTTCTTGTAGCATGAATCAATCCTTCACCCTGAACACAACAAAGACAAAAACACTTTCGGCGCCAAATAGCCTCTTGGGCTAAACCACTATACCAACTAAGCTTGAACAAAGCTCAAACTTAGCAACAGGAACAGACTTTGTCAACATATTAGCAGGATTATCATGAGTACTTATCTTGCATACCTTTAGCTTACCTTGCGCGACTACATCGCAAACATAATGGTACTTGATATCAATGTGCTTTGTCCTCTCATGAAACATCTGATCTTTAGTAAGGCAGATAGCACTTTGACTGTCACAAAACAAGTTAATGCAAGAATCAACTCCACAAAGCTCAGCAAACAATCCTTTCAACCAAACTGATTCTTTACATGCTTCAGCAATAGCCATGTATTCTGCTTCAGTGGTAGACTGGGCAACAACAGGCTGCAATGTTGCCTTCCAACTCATAGCACAACTACCAATGGTAAACACATAATCTGTGAGTGACCTTCTCTTATCTAAATCTGCAGCAAAATCAGAATCCACATATCCAACAAGCCCCTTATCAGTCCTGCCAAACTTCAAGCAAGCATCAGCTGTGCCTCTGAGGTACCTGAAAATCCACTGAACAGCTTTCCAGTGTTCTTTACCAGGATTCGCCATGTATCTACTAACCAAACTCATAGCATGAGATAAATCTGGACGGGAACAAACCATGGCATACATCAAAGAACCAACATCACTAGAATATGGAACTCTAGACATGTATTCTACATCCTCATCAGTACTAGCACATTGTAAAGCTGATAATTTAAAATGAGATACAATAGGAGTACTAACAGGCTTTGCATCATGCATGTTAAAACGCTGAAGAACCTTCTTAATGTAGCTTTGCTGACTAAGAAATAACAAACCAGAATTTCTGTCTCTAGTGATTTCCATACCTAGAATTTTCTTAGCAGCACCAAGATTCTTCATATCAAACTCACTACTTAACTGTTTCTTCAATGTAGTGATTTGTTCCTTGCTCTTGGCAGCAATCAGCATATCATCAACATATAACAGCAAGTATATAGGTGATCCATTAACAAATTTAATATATACACAGCTATCAAATTCAGACCTCTTAAAGCCATGTGACAACATAAATGAATCAAACCTTTTATACCATTGACGAGGAGACTGTTTCAAACCATACAAAGATCTTTTCAACTTGCAAACATAATCCTCCTTACCAGGTACTACGAACCCTTCTGGCTGGTCCATGTATATCTCCTCCTCTTTGTTCTGCGATGTGCAATAGGTTCATCTTGTGACTGCAAAACAGGAGGTGAGTGCTGAACAGTATCATTAACATCATTACCAACAATTTTAGTTTCCTGATCATCCACGTGCTCCACCTGCACGCTAACATATTGCTGCTCCTCATCAGAACCACCTGGTATGACATCTGTGGGCAAGCTGTCATTAAACATAACAGATTCATTGAAAACAACACTCCTGCTCATGAAGGTCTTATTAGTTTCAGGATTTCATAACTTAGGTGTAAATGAATTTGGATCACAACTCAACAAATAAGTGACCTGGCAACTATTGGCCTGCAGGTATCTTCACAATTTTTAACTCATCTAATTCCATTTTGTTATCATTTTCTCAAGACTTCTCCTGTGAATATGTGATGATGTAATCAATATGTACTCCCTCAGGCAATTGACACACACACACTCTCTCTCCTATGATATACATACTTGATTATTTTTCTAGACATATATTTATATAGATTACTAAAATATAACTAAAAAAATAATTCCTTAATGAAAAATCTAATAATTTCATTTTCACATATTTAATACTTGTGTGTACATGTATATTTGCGATGAATATATGTAGGAAATTAAAATTACAGTCCTAGCGTTATGCGCAGTCATGCTTCTTATTATGTGGTACTACTTATATTAATGAGTTAAGATTTTAAAGATTTGACTGTATGTTCTAAACAACATATGTTTGAGAACGATGGGCCGATGGGGAAACATTTAATTAGAAGGGTTTGGTTACCTTACCTGTTGGTTCAGCACCCACGTTTTGCCACCTTAAAAAAATGACATATATTTTTTTTCCTAAAGTAAAAGTAGGGGTTTAATTGTGTCTGCACTTTTGTGACTGAACAATTAACGGAGAGAGAGATTTTTATAACTTAATGGGCAGGCTCTCATTTTATAAGGTCATCGAAATAGTTTTAAAAAATCCTGAAAAAAGTTGACAACCTAACTATATGCACGACTTATTATTTCACAAACATCGAAGGCTAAATTTGATCCATACTTGGAATGAAAAAAAAACTGACATCTCACCAATCCTGTAGTACTCAGAGGCATTGTATTTGTTCTTTTTTCCTCCATGTACTAGATCAAATTTAGGCCTCGCATGTTTTTTTTGGACATGAGACAGTATGATCCATGATACCTTTTCCCCCAGTATTGTTTAGAATTATATTAATAGCATGCAAGAAGACAAAATTATAAGCGTAGGGTGTAAACACGTCTTTAGTTGTATACTTGTATGACAATGACTGCAGTGAAGTGGTAACTGGTAAATACTCCCTTTTGTTTGAATTCACACTGCACCATCTGATTACCCTTTCTCACTAGACACGTGCCAAAACTAGCCAATATTTGTCCATAATATAAGCATAAAACCAATCCTAGCTTCTTTTCCTAAACCCAACATAACAGGTTACATCATGACTCCAATCCCCGTTAATATTAATTTTACAAACGGTAGTCCACTACCAGCATTTTCAATAGCAGAAACAATCCGAGTTGTCGATTAATAAATTCTACTGTCAGTAAAAGTTCCCTCTAAATTTCACTGCTAGTTGAATTGAAGTAGTTCTTCAAATAGACATGGTCCACTCAATGCGAAGAAATTAAAAGTTTAGGTCGATTCTTTCTATCAGTAATTAAAGATCATCGTAAAAACCATCAAATTTTACGATAGACACACCACTCCGAGAGAGAGCCTTTAGCTGTAGGCAAAATTCCACAATTTGCGTCAAAACTAATTATTCCATATGGATGACGCAATAGAAATCGAAAGTGAAACAAAAATAAGGTCTCTGGCGGGCGATGACTAGGAAGCCCTTCCAGGTCTTTTCCATCCCCAACCCCCTCGACACACAGTGCCTAGCAGCTACTACTACACTCTCAATAATACAATGAACCCACACTGAATAATAACCCACGTTTTGTTTATTTGCTTCTTCAGAGAGTTGGGCTCTGCACCTGCACTGCGGCTTCTCTCTTGCTTCTTTTGGCCGTTTGCAAAGCCTCTCTATTTAAAGAAGCCCTCCTCCTTAGCTTCTCCCTCCAGCCGGCGAGAGAGAGCCAGCCAGCCAGCCAGCCAGACAGCTTCTTCTTCCTCGTCCCTGTGTTGCTGCTTCTGCTGCTGCTGCCGCCTTGTGTATAGCCTTGTGTATCTCCTTTGGCTTCTTCTGGGTACCTGCCGGCCGGCTAAGCTAGCTGATCGCCGGCCGCCGGCTCTCGTTGAGCTCTTCTTGGTGCCGGCCGCGGCGTTGTTAGTGTCGTCTTTGCTGGGTACGTAAGTGCTCACCCTTTGTATTTTGCTCTCCGTCGCAAAATGATTCATGAGCTGTAGTTCTGCTGGCATTTTCTCTCTCTTTCTGTCTTTCTCTCTTTCTCATTTGATACAGTGTATGGCAAATTGCATAACAATCAAAGTTATTGGTGTTGGGAGAGGCAAATCCGCAATAATTTATAAAATCCGAATCAAACCAAAAGATTTTGCCTGTGATCTTATATGCAAACATATGAAGAAACGTTTCATATGTACAAGCAGTATAATACTTTCTTCATGCCACGGTACTTGTCTTTCTAGATTGTTTAGTACAAATTAAGATTTGAGAAGTAGTACTCTCAAATGATAAGTACCGTGGGGTAAAATTTGAACTCCAAAGAAATAACTATTTTGGGACAGAAGAATGCTACCACTATGTAGAAATTAATGGTTCTGACGTCATAGGGAGTGGTGTCTAAGGTTGGAAGTGAAGTTACATCCAGAGAAGTTGGTTTGTGATTTCTGTATCCAGTTTATTATTATCCCATTTGGAACTGAGTGAGGTAGGGTGTAACATGACCCAAGGGGATCTGAGGAGTGATGTGACTGCTATTGGACTAATTCTTTTTGTCCATGAGCAACAGCAATCTCAGGGTTGGTGTATGTGACTTGAAGGTCAAATACAGAGTGGATATTATACTAGTATTAGAACAGAGTATTTCTCTGCTCCTTTATCTTTTTTTAAAAAATAGGTCATGTCTTTTAAGTAGTATATATCTGAGGTAGTAAATGCCCATTTGGACTTTTTGTGAAGAGTGAGTTGGTCCACTCTAATTTTGTAACTCCATTATTAAAGATTAATAAAATTACCATTACTAAAACAATCAGGGCTTATTATGCATACCAGTGACAGTTCAGAGCACCCTTGAAAATATGTTGTTTTGACACATACACATCATAATAGCATAGTAATACCTACTACTTGTACACCATGAGCTGGCTCTCCTCTAAGTTGTTGGCATCTTCCATATGAACCAAAATCTGAGTAATAAATCACCATATTATGCATGCATCAATTGCAAGCACCAAGAACCAAGAATCGATAGCATTTATGCTGCTGATTTACTAGGCAGCAAAGGAGGCCAAGGAAATCAATACAATCCTTTCTTGAGCATTTTAATCACTCCTCTCCCTTTGCTTAGCAACAAAGGATCCCATCTTCTTTGTAGACGTCAACAAAGATGCAGAGGATTTTGCTTGGTTTTTCACACCATCGCCGACCTCAGAATCAAAGCCATTGACCGTGCAGGCTGCAGGAAGATCAGCAGCAAGCTAAGCTAGTAGCCTCCAAGGTGCCCGGAGATGTCGTCGGCGCTGGAGGTGGAGGGCTCGGGCTCGCCGGGCGTCGAGCCGGCGGCGACGGCGACGGCGAGCAGGCTGAAGCGGCACGACTCGCTGTTCGGAGACGCGGAGAAGGTGAGCGGCGGGAAGCACCACGGGGGGTCGGCGGTGAGCTGGGCGGTGACGCTGCACCTGGCGTTCCAGAGCGTGGGCATCATCTACGGCGACATCGGCACGTCGCCGCTGTACGTCTACTCCAGCACGTTCCCGGACGGCATCGGCCACCGCGACGACCTCGTCGGCGTCCTCTCCCTCATCCTCTACACCCTCATCATCATCCCCATGCTCAAGTACGTCTTCATCGTCCTCTACGCCAACGACAATGGCGACGGTAAGAATCGATCAAGAAAACCTCCTTCTTCTTCCTCCTCCTCCATCATCGATCGTCTCAGCATCTCTGAATTGAATCTCTGATGACGTTGCAGGTGGCACGTTCGCGCTCTACTCGCTGATCTCCCGGTACGCCAAGATCAGGATGATCCCGAACCAGCAGGCGGAGGACGCCATGGTGTCCAACTACAGCATCGAGGCGCCCAGCTCGCAGCTGAGGAGGGCGCAGTGGGTGAAGCACAAGCTCGAGAGCAGCCGTGCCGCCAAGATGGCGCTCTTCTTCCTCACCATCCTCGGCACCTCCATGGTCATGGGCGACGGCACCTTGACCCCCGCCATCTCCGGTAAAAAAAGAAATAAAATCAAACGCATCAATCGATCGATTATTAGTCAACATTTATCACATTATGTCAGTGGTAAGAGTTGGGTTTCGGGCGATCTTGGCTGTGTTCCGTTGTTGGTTTAGCGGCAATCGGTCACGCTTAGTGGTGGCCGGTTCGGTGCTAGCCTTCTTCTGGGGCTGTGTGTTGGTGCTGTCGGTGTGTGGGTGGTGGTATACTTTTTTTTCCTAGTTACGATCTTCCGAGGTTATAATCTTGCAATTTTTTCCTACTCTATCTCGTTAAAAAAAACATTTATCACATTATGTGTATACCTTGTGTTGTGTGCTTTGCCTGCAGTGCTCTCTGCGGTGAGCGGGATCAGGGAGAAAGCTCCAAACTTGACTCAGAGTATGTGTGACAGAATTTTATCCAGAATTTGTCACTGAATGATTCAGAAAATGTTTTGAACCAAAGAAACCTGACATTTAAATTTTCTTGGTGGTGTTTTTTGCAGCGCAAGTCGTGCTGATCTCGGTGGCCATCCTGTTCATGCTCTTCTCCGTCCAGCGGTTCGGCACCGACAAGGTCGGCTACACCTTCGCCCCGATCATCTCGGTGTGGTTCCTCCTCATCGCCGGCATCGGGCTGTACAACCTCGTCGTCCACGAGATCACCATCCTCAAGGCCTTCAATCCGTGGTACATCGTGCAGTACTTCAGGAGGAACGGCAAGAAGGGTTGGGTGTCTCTCGGTGGCGTCGTCCTCTGTGTCACAGGTAATTAATTATACTTAATTACCTTCCATTTTCTGACAAATGTTACACAAATGTAACTGCAGATGAATCCATTCCTAATTCTGTTGTAGCCTGTAGTAAATTTTTACTGATTCTGACTAGCTGTAAGTAATAACCTTAATATGATTCCATCTGCAACAGGCACAGAGGGAATGTTTGCCGACCTGGGCCATTTCAACATCAGGGCCGTGCAGGTATGTATATATGGACACACACCTGACACCCATGCTTTGTCTGAGAAATAGCAGTAGCCAGGGTTTGAATATCGCGCAGCACGGTTATCGTACTAACCACGTGCGGTAACCTTTTCAGTTTTTTTAAACCCTCGGTTTTTCACGGTAACCGTGATATCGCTGGGTAGCAGTAACCCTCACCAAAACGCGAGGAAGGGGAACCCCTTGTAGTAACAACCTGGATGTCTGAACTCTGAAACGGCTCTGGTTTTTTCTTTCTGTCGCAGATCAGCTTCAACTGCATCCTGTTCCCATCGGTGGCGCTCTGCTACATCGGGCAGGCAGCGTACCTGAGGAAATTCCCTGAGAATGTCAGTGACACCTTCTACAAATCCATCCCAGGCAAGTACAGAGATCGACTGAATTTTGGTAGAACAGAGTATATTCATCACTGACGCTTACTCTGCTCTGCTAACTCTGTCTTCTTCATGTGCTGCTGCTGCTGCATCGCAGGGCCGCTGTTCTGGCCGACGTTCATCGTCGCGATCCTCGCCGCCATCATCGCCAGCCAGGCCATGCTCTCCGGCGCGTTTGCCATCCTCTCCAAGGCGCTGTCCCTCGGGTGCTTGCCCAGGGTCCGGGTGATCCACACCTCTAAGAAGTACGAGGGGCAGGTGTACATCCCCGAGGTGAACTTCATGATGGGTCTCGCCAGCATCATCGTCACCATCGCCTTCAGGACCACCACCAGCATCGGCAACGCCTACGGTAACATCTCTTTTTCTCATCATCAGTTTAAACTTTTAGGTTGAACTGGTTGATCGACTGATATGATCTATTGAGTTGAAATATGGTTTTCAATTTTGAAATTTAGTAAATTTCGATATTTTTGACCGAAATTATTTAAAAATTTGATTAATTTTGAATAAATTTGAATAAAATTCGACCAAGTTCACATAAATTTGCAAAAAAAAGAGAAAATTTCGGATGAGCTATGTGCTTGGCGGTGGGGGGCGAAATTTCTGAAATTTCAATCCCTGAGTTGAACTGGTTGACTAACTGGTTTGAGCTTTTGAGTTGAACTGGTTGACTGATTGATATGAGCTTTTGTGTTGAACTGATCGGTAACTGATCTGAACGTTTATGGGTGTATATAGGGATCTGTGTGGTGACGACGTTCATGGTGACGACGCACCTGATGACGGTGGTGATGCTGCTGATATGGAAGAAGCACCTGGTGTTCATCCTGCTCTTCTACTGCGTGTTCGGGTTCACGGAGGTGGTGTACCTGTCGTCGATCCTGTCCAAGTTCGTGGACGGCGGGTACCTCCCCTTCTGCTTCGCCATGGTGCTGATGACGATGATGGCGACGTGGCACTACGTCCACGTGCGGCGCTACTGGTACGAGCTGGACCACATCGTCCCCACGGCGGAGCTGGCGTCGCTGCTGGAGGAGAACGGCGGCGTGCGGCGGGTCCCCGGCGTGGGCCTCCTCTACACGGAGCTCGTCCAGGGCATCCCGCCGCTGTTCCCGCGCCTCGTCCGCAAGATCCCCTCGGTCCACGCCGTCTTCGTCTTCATCTCCATCAAGCACCTCCCCATCCCGCACGTCGCCGCCGCCGAGCGCTTCCTGTTCCGCCAGGTCGGCCCCCGCGCCCGCCGCGTCTTCCGCTGCGTCGCCCGCTACGGCTACACCGACGCCCTCGAGGAGCCCCGGGAGTTCGCCGCCTTCCTCGTCGACGGCCTCAAGATGTTCATCCAGGAGGAGTCCGCCTTCGCTCCTCATCAAGAGATGATCGATGCCGCCGCCGACGACGACGACGAGGCGGCGGCGAGGCCGAGGCGGTCGACGAGCTCGGCCGTGCACAGCGAGGAGGCGATCCAGGCGGCGTCGTCGGGGAGGACGACGGCCAGCAGCGTCCAGCTCCAGGCGGGCGGCGAGCCGCCGGCGGCGATGGACGTGGAGGAGGAGAAGCGGCTGATCGACAGGGAGGTGGGCCGCGGCGTGGTGTACCTGATGGGCGAGGCCAACGTGTCGGCGGGGCCCAACTCGTCCATCCTCAAGAGGATCGCGGTGAACTACATCTACACCTTCCTGAGGAAGAACCTGACAGAAGGGCACAGGGCACTGGCGATTCCAAACGATCAGCTGCTCAAGGTTGGGATCACGTATGAAATCTAGGCATTTGATACATCTGATCTGATATCAAAGTATACATATATATGTGGGAAAAAAAATGAGCCTAGTATAAACCATGGGTTTTGTTGATGATGCTGATGTTGGAAGAGAGGGCAAAGTGCCTTTTTTGTTTGTTGAATAAGTAGTTTCAGCTGAAAGTGTTGGCAGGCAGGGAGGGTTTGGTTTTTCTTTCGCCTCTGTACAGTGTGGTTTGTGTAAACGGCGTGTGCCAACTTGAGTAGAAGGTTTCTCACTGGTGGTGTGTTGTCCATGCTAATCCGAGATGTCCCCTGTGTTTATGGCCATCACTCATCACACACCCTCCGGTGAACTCCCATGCACGCGCTTGAAATGCGATGCAAATGGCGATGAAAAGTTATAAAGTACTCCAATATGTTATGGTTTGATGTAATCGAGCATCCTACAAGGATTGAATTGGGAAAAAAAAATGTCGTAGGTTAGAAGAAAATAAGTGAAGGCAAACTTCGGCCGGCAGTAGATTTATCATTTCCTCTGTTCTTCTACCTTATATTTCTCTGCGTGTAGAATTAGATCCGAATGAAATTTTGCGCAATGATGAATTGATGTTGTTGTGTGCAATTGCGGTCAAACTAATTTACCGTTATGAAGTGAGCGTAGCTCAACTGGTTAGGTTCCTTTAGTGGTAAGCAAATTGTTCTTTCAGTGGCAGGCGACGTACCCATCGACAACAAGGCACCCGTGGTGACTTCGTCAATCTCAAAATATATCGGCTCGGTCTTCCGAATATGCTCATAAGAGTAGGGTGTGCGTGTATTCGTTCATAGGGGTGAGTGTACGCGCGTTGTGAGCGTCTGCGTTTGTGTGTGTGTGTAGTTCAACTTAAATTCTAAACACTTCTCCAGTATGTAAAAAACATAAATGGTTAACATTTATATCAGTACTTAATATTTAGAATGATAATCATGATTATAAATTAAACGGAACATGTTTTATAACTTCACTAGCAATATGCCCGTGGGTAGCAATGGATATTCATTCATAGGTTCAGGGACCATATAATTGGGAATGGGCTCAGTGTTTTTGGACAGAGCAGAAGGATAACCCTCTAGTTTACTGATAACCATAGGGTGTGTTTAGTTCACGCTAAAATTGGAAGTTTGGTTGAAATTGGAACGATGTGACGAAAAAGTTAGAAGTTTATGTGTGTAGGAAAGTTTTGATGTAATGGAAAAGTTGGAATTTTGAAAAAAAAGTTTGGAGCTAAACTCGGTCATAATCAAGGTAAACACATAAAAAGCAAGAAAGGAAAGTAGATAGTGAAGGTACAGAAACCAAAACAGGGTCCATAAGCACACATGTGCATGAAATTTTGAAGGCACTGTTAAATCTCAACTACATCTAAGAAACCTTAGTGCTGTACCCAGTGTGGCTACATGCTTTGCAATGACGCCTGTTGAAATAGTATCAGAGCAATGTATTTGGTTGAACAATAACTGGAGTCTGTAATGTTACTATTTCACTGAATATACAACAGAGTTTTAACAACCAGTACAACTTTGGAAATTCCTAACTTACAGCATCAGAACAGAGTATACCGATCTTCACCTTCACTGAAGATCTTGGCTGCTCCTCAGACTTCGGGACTGGAGGCACAATCGTCGTGTCACTGGCATTTGTTATAATAGAAAAAAATAAGTGAAGAATGAAGACAAGCATTTTAGTGAAATGTGCATTTATGATGCCAGGAAGGTTATATAACCGTACCACTGAATATCCAACAGCTAAGGTTGACATGGATAAAGTGATTAGGCTTCATCTCTCACAAGCCCTTCAGCCATTCCCGAAAATGTGCTTGCATTTTGTCTCGACTTGCCGCGTTCCCAACATTAACAGTGGGAATTACCTTTTGGGGTCTCAGAAACTAGCAAACAAATATAGACCTATAATTATAAGGTATCAAAGTAAAAGATTACAAAAATGCATGATCATATCTGGCAATTTACCATCACAAATTCTCTAAGCTCACTGAAACTTGAGTGCTCGCTATAAGGAACACCTACAAGGATAACAAATTAGTTTAATGAAACATGGAATCAGAGCAAATTACTTTATAAATTTGAAATTGCTGAAAGATAATGTTTGTCTAGCACATATGATACAAAACTAACTAGGTTGCAGCTAGAATATGCATCTGAAACAACATGCCCAGTATGAGGAAGTTCTAATGCAGGACACACTTGTGGGTTTCAGCTTTGGCTGCAATCCACAAGCTCTAGTAGGGTACACAGATCATATTACAAAGACATTAATTATTATCCAAGTAGAAAAGGAAAACCTGCATACGCATGAATAATAAGATTTTGAATTCAGCAAATAAATAATTGAAGTTTGCAATTGCCAGAAACTAAATCCATGGTGAGCAGAAAGAAATATTTTTACTGAACAACTTAGGTAGCCATCAGCCTTTCATTAAGAAAGTAATAAAAGAAAAGAATTATCTGCACAATGCCACAATCTAACAAATCCTACCATAGATAGTAATTTTGCCCCTGGAGCTAGGTTTAATTAGGTCAAGCTGATTTCCAGTTTCCTCAGAGAAAGTCCAACCTGATAAACAATTGAATGGAAACTAAGAATGATGTAATCAAGAATTCGGTAGCACGAATTTTATCTTCCCAAGATTATAAACCTGTTGGTCGAAAAGCCAGCACAGCTAGAAATCTTTGTTTAAGAGTCTCCAAATACTTCTGCAAGTTCTAATAGGAAACAGCTTTCTGGTAAGAGAGGTTACTAGACAAATTCCATGGGTTCATTTGAAAATCATTTCCAAACCTCATGTCGTAAAGAAGAAAGGGGCAGAACATGAAGTGATGAACTTTGACTGTCTGAACATATCATTTTGGATAAATCCGACCAGCCAAATGCGTGAAGAATGCGCCTTCTTGATGCATCAGTGTAGATAGGAACCTTTCAAGAATAAACATAAGTGAGTTATCTGCGAATGGAAATTAGAAGACCAACATGGCCACATTGCATAGCACAACATTAGGTGAAACATTGTTAAGAAAGAGCCTACTAGGATTTTTTTTTTCTTTTAAGAACTCGTAAGACTTCATTCCAAAAATTCATACTGAAGTCTCAGATCTGTAGTACCTGTAAAGCTTTCGAAATCGCTAGATATACATTTTCTTTCCCAATGCTATATGCTCCAACAACAATGAGTGTTTTTGGTTCCTTCTGTAGATATCTTTTAGCTGTCCTCACAGCAAAATCAATAACATCTTCCTTGGGAGGGAACCTAAAGAATATGAGGTTTAGCAACACAACCATTAATGAGAAAATGCTTAAACTTAAGGCTGCATACTCACTTGTATTTTGGATTACAATAAGTTGTGTCCAGGTAAAGCAAATTTATCTGGCCTCTTTGGAGAAGTGGATACAACTGCATTGATTTTGATGCTCTAAAATCCCCAGTATGGAGATATTTCTTCCCATCACCAAGACGGAAGTGAATTAGTGCTGCACCAGGACAATGGTTGGCCTCTAACAAGGTCACTGAAACTCCCTCTATAACATACTCCTTATCAAGCTCCAACGGACAAATATACCTGCAAACATCAATCTATCAGTTTGAACACATTATACTAGCACTAACAGATCAGAGGATGGTTGTACACCCCAAAAAGGACTTACTCGGGATTTACTGACAAGCACATCTTAACCAAGCGAGCAGTTAGGGCAGTACAGTAGATAGGACCATGGCACCATTTCTTGGTTAATCCACCATAATGATCATGGTGAAAATGGCTGAGGAAATAGGCATTGCAACCCTCAACCGCTCCATACCGAAATGCATCCACCGTGAATGGAGTTCCTATGTTCGTTAATTTCAGTTTTAAGACAACTGAAGGCCGCGAGGAATTTAAATATAGTACTATAACAACTACATTCAGATTCCAATTTTCTTTTGCGATAATTCAGATTCTTATTCAACATGTAACAACCTCATTTGCACCAAGAAACGAATAATGATATCAAATTCACAAATGCAGGCTCCCACAAACTAGTTGCTAGAACATCGGTACAGAAATTGCTTGACAGAATTCAGGAACATTTATAGATAGACACGCCAATTAAAACAACAGGATTGGAAAAGACCAGCATTTACCGGGAATCTTCTTGTAGAAGGGGCAGGCGAGAGGCTTCCTGTCCGCCGCGGCCTCCACCTCGCCTCCTCGCCGCCGCTTCCTCCCGGGCCATGAGCCAGAAGGAGCGGACGAAGCCCCAGCCCCAGCCCCGCCCGCGACCCCCGCGACCTCCTCCTCCCGCCGCGGCCGCCTGTCGATTCCCCACGCCTGGAAGAGGCTCCTCTGGACGAGGGAGTCGCCGGACTTGTTCTTCCCGGACTCCTCGGACGACGGCGGCGGCGAGGGGGCGGCGAGCAGGGAGGACCAGTCGGTGCCGCTACGGTAGAAGTCGTCGGCGAAGCTGGTGGCGGCGGTGGCGGCAGTGGGAGAGGAGGGGAGGGGGAAGCCGTTGTCGTCCAGCCCGTCCGGGACGGGCAGGGGCGGGGGCGAGCTGGGTTCGCCGTCGCCGGCGATGTCGGTGCCCATCGGAGGGTTCGAAATGGGCGGCGGCGGGAGGATGCAGGAGGAGGGGACTGAGAAGAGAACCGTAGGACACATAAGCTCAGGTGTGAACACGGCACGTCGATCGCCAGCCGTCCGATCGGCCTGGCCTGACGGATCGGACGGCTCGTGGTTTCCACTCCCTCACCTTCTCCCCCCCCCCCCCCCTCTTCTCCGTCTTCCCGCCACCGTGCTCCCGGCTCCCGCTCCGTGAGGGGGCCCTTGGTTGATTCGTAACGATTTCTTTTTTATTTTTTTTCAACCTTTTTTACTTTTCAATTTTAAAAATATATACTCTCAAAACTTATTTTCAAAATCTGAACTTTTTTACCACGCCAGCCTAACTAGCGTGGCAAAACAATACTATCATATTGGTCTGACTGACGTGACGGTGTTATTTGGTCACTGCCACCCTGATTGACGTGGCAGGATACAATTGTCACGCCCACTCTGTGTGATGTGTGGCCAAAAGATTCAGATTCCGCAAATAAGTTTTGCAAATGTTTGTTTTTAAAATTAAAAATTTAAAAAGTTCAAAAAAATTAAAAAAATCGTGACCCACAAGGGAAAAAATTACTAAAATGGTTACACTTATAATGTATCTGTTTCATATTAATAAGAAGTTGGACATTTTTTCTGGTCAAACTTTTATAATTTTGATCAAGTTCAATTAGTAGTATTTTTAACGCAAAACAAATATATTACCAAAATATATTCAACGCTAGATTTAAAATAAGTAATTTTGTATTTTAGATATTGCTAATTTTTTTATAAACTTGTTTAAAGATAATAAAGTTTGACTAATAAAAGGTCAAAATGACTTATAATATAAAGCGGAAATGGAAGGAGTAAGTTCTTAAATATGTCCCTGCCAGCGCTGTCGCCGTCACCGGGGATGTCGGTGCCCATCGGAGGGTTTGAAATGGGTGGCGGCGGGAGGACGCAGGAGGAGGGGATGGAGTGGAGAAGAGAACCGAACATAAGCTCAAGTGTGAACACAGCACGTCGATCGCCGGCCGTCTGATCGGCCTGGCCTGACGGATCGGACGGCTCGTTGTTTCCACTCAGTCACCTTCTTCCCCCTTCCTCTTCTCCGTCTTCCCGCCACTGTGCTCCCGGCTCCCGCTCCGTGAGGGCTGGATATGCCCTTGGTTTGGTAGATTTGTGACGATTTTTTATATTTTCTAAACCTTTTTAATTTTTAATTTTAAAAATAAACCTTCTCAAAACTACATATTTTGACCACGCGAAGCTAACTAGTATGGTAAAATAATACTGCCACGCCGGTCTAACCGGCATGACAACGTTATTTAGTCACGCTGGTCTGACTGACGTGTAGAATAAAACTGTCATGCTCACTATAAGTAGTGTGTCAGTGTTATGCATGATCGTGATCAAAAGGCTCAGATTCTGCAAATAGTTTGGAAGTGTTCGTTTTTAAAATTAAAAATAAAAGAAGTTAAAGAAAATAGAAAAGTTTGTAACCCACTAGGAAAGAAAATATATTACTACAGAAAATCACTCTTATAGTTTCACAATTTCATATTATAAATAACTTTGATATATTTTTCTAGTCAAACTTTTCAAATTTTGATCACGTTTAGAGGAAAAAATATAGTAACATTTTACAATGAAACAAACATATTATCAAAATATATTCAATGCTAGATTTAATAAAACTATTTGATATTTTAGATATTGCTATTTTTTAAAAAAAATTGATTAACATAACAAAGTTTAGTTGGTAAAAAAATCAAAGCAACTTATACTGTAAAAAAAATGAAACGAGTAATGTCCAGGAGGGGTACGGGACAAACACGGCGGCGCTGTTTAACAACGGCCTCAGCTGTGGCGCGTGCTTCGAGGTAGGGGCGTACCTATGTATAGGTTACAGGTGTCCAAGGACACCGGGTAGATTATTTAATTCTAGCTAATTTATATCATACTAATTAGTATAATCGGTCAATAATTAAATAATTAGTATGTTTAGGACCTCCGGTAAATTTTGTTATGGGTTTGCCACTGCTTCGAGGTGTGGTGCGCATATTGCTCGATGAAATGCCGCTGTAAGCTTGTCCAAGTTTGTGCTTCCCATAATCCCACTCCCCTTATCATCGCCATGTTGCTTACCATGGCTAGGTAATCTTCACATGACATTCCATATTGCGATGGACACATAACATAATAAAGCTGTTAATTATCTGTGATTAGGAGATGTCCGCATGACAGATTGACAATCTTGGTGGTTGTAGCAAGCAAAGCACAATCATGTTACTAGAAGAATTTCCATGCTCTTTTCACTGGACCTTATAGTCTCCTATTTTGCCTCGGGCACTTGAAATGGTGACCATGAGGGAAGAAAATATTACTAGAGGGAATGATTATTCTTCTAAGGACAAATATGTGTGGGCTAGTGTGCTTTCCGCTTAAGGACAAATGTTGCAATTTTCCTTGCAGAAAATGTGTACTTCTCTTATAAAATCAAGCCATCCCTGATAGTTGATTCTGGGTGAGTTGCAAAGCTACCACTGCCAAGTTAGCAATGAGCAGCTTTGAACAATGCATGTTGGTACATGTCTCTCTATTTGTACAAGAAACAGAGTACTAAGCTTATTCTAAATAGGAGTAATTTGCGTAACGAATGTGAGTTTCAAGATCTTAAGTATCATGAATGAAATTTTTGATAAAAATGGATTTGTAGCTGAGGAATACACATTAGCAATGCAGACTAAAAAAATAAAATAGATTTAAATGTGATGTGTATATATAAACTAAGAGCAGAAGATAAAACATGAAAATTGCTTACGACTAAGCTTGGCAATTCAATTGATTAAGACCAATTACCACCATAGAAAATGTTTGTACCAACTTGGCTTTGATTAAGATTTCAGAACTATCAATTGATGCCATCGTTCCCTGATTTTTTTTTTATAAAACTGAAGCCCTGCCAGAGTGTCACTTTTCAGGGAATATATAGTTAATTGCATGATCTACAGAATTCAGAATGGTATAGCCGTTGTTATTACAGATTTCATATGCTCTCCACACTAGAAAGAAGTTCACTATGTAATGATGGTACAATAGTTACAGTATAGATTTACTAACTCCACTGTGTGCTATGAGCTTTGGAAACAGAACGTGCAATAGATATGCATTTTTATCACCACAATCAAAAGTGCATACAAATTAATAATTACACACCACTCTTTATAATTAAATACGGGTTCTCATATTAGGCCCCATACAAACATTACATTGTTTACACACAACAAAGCACACATTAAAGTAGTAGTGTTCTACAGAAAACAGATACTCCAATCATATCTGGAAGCAAACTTAATTTCACACATGACAAACTGGTTTAGCTATCACTAGATGGCTGGCCAACAGACTGGTCTCCATAATCAAGGAAGCTAACCTTTTATTTAAACATTCTATGTGTGTGTGTGTGTGTGTGTGTGTGTGTGTGTGTGTGTGTGTGTGTGTGTGTGTGTGTGTATAAGCAGATCAACACTGACGAAAGAACTCATATATTAGTACTAATATGCAGAAAAGTTTTCTTATTTTCTTTTTTTTTTCAATATACATGGATGGAAGCAGTGGATGGGCATTGTGAAATATGTATGGATTGATGGGCGGTATAATATAATGGTATGTGGCATATGTATGGTACTAGAATGGGTGTAGGTGGAATACTGTCAAGTAAGGTAAGTTTTTTTTGTTGTTGTAGTGAATCAAGGTAGGTGTTTAGCTAGCACATGGTGAATATATGGCAGATGAGCTAGCTAGCAGAGGGCATTGCCAAAATGGCAAGAGAAGTCACGTGGCATGTCATGGATGCATGGAAAGCTGAGAATGGATTGATGAGCTCGGCCATGATTCACCTGAGGTAGCTCATCACCGTGGCGCGCTCGTTGAAGGAGGCAAACGGCAGGGGAAGCTTGGATTTATAGCTGGCGCTGTGCATGGTGGAGTCGTCGTCCCAGATGAGCTTCCGCCACCATGCCCTCTCCCCGCTCACCTCCACCGCCTGGCTTGAATGTTCTTGGCGGAGGAGCGGGAGACGGCGTAGGCTCCAGCACCCGCGGACATGGAGCTCCTTCCACGCCGGTGCGGATATGGCGGCGTTGACATCATCGCGGAGGTGCTGCAGTAGTGGCAACTCCTGGAGGCGCATCCTTTGGAGGATAGGGAGCTGATAGTTGATGGGTTGCTCACAAGGATGTTGGTAGAAGATTGTCTTGAGGTTGTAGCAGAATAGGATGTCGAGTGTCGTGAGGCTTGGTAGTGCAGACTCACGTGGCACGATGCGCTCTAGTCTTGGGCAGTACTCCAGGTGCAGGTGCTTCAGGGAATCGAAGTTCGAAGTATCATTGTACTCCAAAGGTTTGTAGAAATGAATTAGACTTTGGAGCTGAGACACTCGAACATTTTGTAGAGATTGCCCCATGGAATATGCATATTCTAAAACATGCTTCATGTGATGGCATGAGCGAAGCTTGCAGTCCTCCAACTTGTCAAAGGAGCTCAGTTTAGTAAGGCAGGAGACATAAATATCATCTATCAAAGAAATCGATTTGGCAACTTGTAGAAGAGAATATAAACCATGGGGATACCGATTCGTTGCAGACATCTCCACATGACGCTTGGTTTGGCGAATGGGAGGCGCAATGGCAACCACTGAAAATTCCTTCGCCATATAACGACGGTACACATCACCATATGGTGATTTCTTATTTGCTAGTTCTGTCAACTTGTCGGCCATCATGTCTTGTTCATCCTCCAACCTCCTAATATTGGTCTTGCATTGGGCAATTTGAACATAGAAATCTTGGAAAAACTCTCCATATTCTACTAGCCTTCTGGTGTTTATGTTGAAACTGTAAAACAATCTAGAATCTTCTATGCAAACATGAGCAATATTTTTTTTGATATTTGCAACTTGATCATCATAATTATTACCATTTCCTTGTGCACAACAATCCAAGCAAAACATATCAGGGAATCTTTGTAGCTTATGCCAAGGAAACCGACTCAAGGATGAAACACCCATGAGAAGCAATCGCCTAAGCTGAGGTAGATTAGGGATCTCAGCTGGGAGTTCCTTGATAGCTGTAGCTGATAGGTCCAGTTCCTCCAAAGCATCAAGGTCCCTCAACTCCACATGCTCCAGCTTTCTACATCCTTGCAGTGACAAGTGCCTTATGTGAGGTGCATTGATAAGCAAGAATGACTTTATGGTAGGATGTCCATCCAATTTGATTTCTTTTTGCATGCTTGAATCCCATCCTTCAATATGTAGCTCCTCAAGACACCCGTGTGATGCATCTTTCATAAGTGATTTTGGTAAATTCCAATGTTGCGTGCTGCCCGAAAGGATGACGCTCTTAAGTCCTATTCCCCCAAACACCTCAATTTCATCCAACTCGTCACAGCCTAGGATATGTAACTTATTGAGACAACTGGCTTTCGAAATTGACCTTGGAACTGAAACCAACAGTTTATTTTCAATGAGCTTGAGTAACTGAAGCTGTTGCATTTCTATAAACATCCAATCTGGAAGTGATGTCAATTTTGTCCCTGAGATTTCAAGGGTTAGCAAGCTAGATAAAGCAGATATGGAACGAGGCAATTCCTCAAGGTTGGAGCACATGGAAAGCAAGAGCTCTTCCAGTTTTATCATATCTTGGAAAAGATCACAGGGAAAAATGTTTATGTTGAGCTGAGTGAGATCAAGATAGAGCAAGTTGTTCACATGGCATTTGTCATTTGGTGACAGAGTGTTGCCACGATTGGAGAAATTGCATAGGCTTTTGAGGTTAGTACATCCTCTGAGAGAAAGCAACCTGAGATTAAATAGATGCCAAACTGAAGGAGGGAGTGATTCTAGTGGTGTATAAGAAAGGTCAAGAATAGAAAGACAAGAGAGTTTAGGCAAGATGTTGTCAATTAGGTTAAGCAAGCTTGGTTTGTGTGAGAAATGACTTAGAAGAAGTGCGGTTGTGCCACTAGATACTTCCTTGTTGGTTATGCATTTTCCACTTATGTGCCATTTCTGATCCTCCGTTGTCTGCTCACAAACCAACTTGATCCATCCCATGTTCTGCAAACACTGCTCCTCATGAAACATTTCGTCTTCAGTGAGATGGTTTATAACGAGACCGTGATATGCTAAGAAGTGTGCAGCAGTGTCAGTAGGCTCATCAACTTTAGTTGCTGGAGCAAATGGTAGCTTTAGTAATGAATACTCCAGAAACGTTTGGAGGATGATGTTCCCAACTTGATATACATCATCATGGTGCCTGATGCCCACATTGTGGATGTTGTCTTGAACTGCTCTTGGTGGTTTGCTAGCAGTAAGGAAGCCTTGGGCAGCCCAGTGACGAATAAGCTCTTCTTTGGTAACATTAATACCATTGTTGTTATCTGCATTAGGTGGCGCATGACATTGTGGAAAGAGAAGCAGGGCATAGTGAAAACACCGGAGGGCAACGCGGTGCCAGTGCTCCACGTCATCCTCCTGCCCCACTGCCTTGGAGATGTCCTTGGCTGATTGGTGCAGCGCAAAGAGGATAAGAACCATGATATCAGCACCAGAGAATGACTCATACACGTCATCACCTTCGGACTTGCTCTTGCTACAGACTTCTCGGGAGGTGGCGGATACCACCCATTCAGAGCCCGACCATGCATTAGCAGGAGGAAGCCGCAACTCGGTTGTGAAAGCACTGGTCGTGATGGGCTTGTACAGGTTCTCAACCACCAGCAGGTACCTCTTACTGTCCAGTGTGGCGTTGATCCGAGGAGCCATTTCCCAAAACAAGTACTCACGCATTTCATTATCCCCCGACACACCCCAGGAGAAATAGTTTGTCTCCTCCATCCTTTGCTTGAGCCTGTGGTATTCTTGGTCGAGCAGCCCCAGCTCCTGTGCCACCGCGGCGACCAGCTGCGCCTCCAATCTCATGACGAAGCTGCTTCCTCCTCCCACTCGTTTTTCCTCTGGATTGATCGGCGACACCTTGATTACTTGATCAAACTGTATGTTACGGGGAAACACATCCAGAGCGAGCCTTGATATGGCCCGCGTGAAGGAAGCTGCCGGCCCAACCCCAACATTCCAATGCACGTTATTATCCCGGTAAATTTTATACGCAAGTTTTGAATATTCGTCAGTGTCACGGTAGCCACCTAGCCTGGTGAGATAGAGGCGAGTTAATTAATTAGTACTGTGCAATTTAGTATAGTTGATTTATTAGTGCTGAACGATATTTACTGTTTTCTATCCACATATATGCATGCGTGCGGCCGGCTGCAGGCCAGATATGATTCAGCAATATATATATCCAGTGCATGCATATATATATATATATATATATGCAAAGCACCGTACGTCCGTTGGCCCGTTTCGTGCATGTGTGCTCGCTTAGCAGCCTTGTCTACGTAAACAAAATAATAATAACTAGGTAACCCGCGCATATTTGCACAACTAGCATTATTATATTTTTTTTCTCATATAATAGCTTAAAGAATTTCATATTTTATTATAGAACATATTAAAATGGCAATATAATTTTAAATTATGTACTAACTTGACTCTACACTTTTTTTTCCAATACTCCTCATTTTTTTAATTCCTAATTTCAGTTATTTATAAATTGTATTCCTATATAGACTCTAGACTCTTCTCCCAATCTTGTTTTTTCAAAAAAAAATAAATTTTAGTTATTTATAAATTATATTTCTATATGGACTCTAAACTCTACTTATAATTTTTATTATTCTTTAACTCCAACTTTCAATTAATTGTAAATTCCTATATGGACTCTACTCTTCCAATTTTTCTTATTTTTAATTCTAAATTCTATTATTTCTAATTGTATTTTTATATGGATGCTAAACTCATCTTCAATATTCCTTATTTTTAGTTCCGAACTTTAGTTATTTATAAATTATATTCTATATGGAGTATAGACTTATCTGTCAACATTCTTTTTTTTAATTTCCAATTGTAATTATTTCTAAATTGTATGGACTCTAATCTTCTCTTCGAATATTTCTTTTTTTAATTCCGAATTTTTTCTATTTTAAATTGTATTTCTATATTGACTCTATTTTTCCCTTTTTCTTCGATTAATGTGAGAATTTTTAGGCCGTAAGAGCGAACATGGTGACTTCTTTTTCTAATAATAATAATAATAATAATAATAATAATAATAATAATAATAATAATAATAATAGTGGTAGTAGTAGTAGTAGTAGTAATAAGGAGCCAGCTACTCAAATTCTACATTCTACAAATATACAGTAGAACCTCTCATAGCATTTTTTATGCCCAAAATAATTATGATGAGTCCAAGATAAACTGTAATATGTGTTTTACGTGCATATATAAAAAAACTAACTCGCGCGCTTATACGGCCAAAAGACAACACTATGTACAAGCTCGGATTTTCACTAGCGTTGATTTTGGGACAACCAACGAAAAATAATCCATCCGATCTTGTTCTGCATCGGCATATTTGCAAACGAAAAATAATTTATGAATAAAACTTTTATATACGTATTCTTAGAGGCTAAAAAATAAACTTCGATAAAAAAAAACCCTAAAACCAACTCCAAATTTAATGTCGAAAATTTAAATTTTGACTGATAAGCATAAATATAAGCGAAAAGATGAGGCCCTTTGACAAGGTATACTTATTTGAATTTGAAACAAGAACATATATACTCCCTTCGTCCCAAATCGCGTCCCCTTTTATGAAAATCAAACTCAGTAGCTTTTGATTAATAATCATACTAACTATATTCATGCTAAGTATTATACATGTTATATTATTATATTTATATTTTGAAGTACTTTAATGTGATACTAATTTCATATTAGTTAAAAACATAACATAGAATAAATTATATATTGATCAAAGTATGTTATTGAAAATCGTATAAAAAATTATAATTTAGGACGGAGGGAGTGTACTTAATGATGAGCCTATATGTATAAATATCGGTGGGTAGATTTCAAGCATTGAATCAAAAGATCTTTGCACTCGGGCGCATCTCACATGAATACATTATAGTTTTGCCCATTTGCCGTCCAATTGCAGTGAGCAGGGGCGGATTCAGGAAAAAAAAATAGGGGCTCAGTTACACAGTTTCTTCAATCTACAACTATTTAAGGACCTTTAGTTTATCATTCATGGTGAAAAATCGAAGGGGTTGTTCCGGGGGTATCCATGGGTCTTGTGGGTGTAGAGGGGACTTGAGTTCCCCTGCACCCACATTGGATCCGCCCCTGGTAGTGAGTATTATTTATTACAAACTTATAATAAAGAAAGCTTGTGAGGCTAATTAGTTGTGCCTACTGCCTGCCTAATATAAAAATCCTCTAAAATTTTACCATCAGTTCAAAATACTACCGAGATATGTTAGATAAACTATATGAAGATTCATATTATTAGATTCACAATTGATTGTAGTTCTATAATATTTATTGTAGTTTTTTTACATTATAGTTGTCAATGTTATATATAGGAGTATAATAACTTGATTCCTAAAAATGAATGTAGGACACTGAAATGACAAATCGCTGAAATGGTGACGATTTTTTTTCTTAAAATCAAGGTACGGGAATTGGGAAGCTTTGTTTAGTCACTCAAGTTTCAACCGGGTCAATTTGGTCCCTAATGTTATTATATTTAACACGAAAAGCTTTTTTTTTAAAAAAAAAACATCATGTGAACCCACGGGGCCTCGCTTGGCTATTGGCTATATATTAAGTTCGGGCCTGTTTACTTTGATACCATTTTCAATCTTACCAAATTTTGGTAAAGTTGCTAAAAAAATAGCTATATTTAGTTTGCTACTAAATTAAAGTGTACATGCCCTTTATTTTGGCCCAGTCAGGCGGTCATAAATGACAATATGTTTCTTGTGATTTAGGAAAGATCTTTGAACTAAAATCATCTATGTAAAAATTAATCTTTGACTTGCGACAAGTTTTTACAAAAAAAAAATGGCAATATGAAGATCAATTTTTCTGTACAGTTTGATTTGCATAATCTAATTAACTCCCATGAACTTACCTTCTGTGTCCGCATTGTAGTAGGAAAAATAGTTGCATTAGGCCCTTCACAGTGCTCCTATGTGGAGGGGGTGCTATGTCTACGTGGAGGGAAAACAAGGTGGGACCCATAGCTACGGTGGGTTCTTCGCTTCTCAACAAAGGAACGAGGTGCTCGGCCAAAAAGCCAGGCGCAGGGCCCACTCGACGACGAAAAAAGAACGACGCAGCTCATGCGTCGACGGATGCCGCCGCGAGCAGATCAGCCGCTGCCACCACCATCGCTCGGAACCCGACGCCGTCGGGGAGCTCGTAGCTGCGCCGCCAGGGAGAGCCGGAGGCTGCCGCCGGGGAGCTCTCGGCCGCGCCGCCGGGGAAGCCTGAGGGCGCCGTTGCCGCTCCACGTCGCGACGACCCTGCCGCTGCTCCCGTCTTCGTCCGACATCGGTGGTCGAGGGCGCCGCCGCACGGCCGTCTTCCCGGCGCCGCCGCACAGCCGTCTTCCCGCCACCGCCGTCTTCCAGATCCGCGCCGCGCCGCCGTCTTCAAGGGCGCCGCCGCACGGCCCGGAGGACGCCGCCGCCGCCGCCCGGCCCGGAGGAGAGGAGAGCCGGCGCTGGCAGAGGGAGGAGGGGAGCCGGCGTCGGCGAAGGGAGGAGGGGATTTGGGGGAGGAGAAATTTGGGGATTTGCCGGTTTGGGGGTAGTTGGGGATTTGTGGGTCCCACTAGCAGATATTTGTGGGTCCCACTCAGTGCTTGCACTGTGAAGAGAGGGTCTTCATCCTAGCTGTCAGGTGGGTGCTTGCACTGAGAAAGGCCTTTTAGAATTAACCAGTAATAGCTTTGAAAATGCAGTTTAGGCTAGCAGAGTAAAAAACAAGAAGATATCATAATAGCTCATCACATTATAAAATATTAACGTTTCGCCGCTTGATTCATACTCATTCGATGCTTCTCTAAAATAGAGAAGGAGAGAATTTAATGATAACATCTCGAGAAGGTATATATGTACATACAAGAAAGTTACATACCAGAATTTTTCATGCTTCAAACGCTCACACCATTTGTGGAAGAAAGGTGTTCCCATTAGATACAATTATTTATGGTAGAAAACCACGGTATCCACAAGACCTGTATGCACCAAAAGTTATTTGAATTAGTCGCGGGAAGTGATTACAACATATTTTTGCATTGGAAGATATAGACACTTTTCTTATATGTAGAACCCTCTTTCATTTTGTAAACCTTAAAATTATGCATAATAATCTATTGAAGAGGATCACTCCATTCAACATGCATGTTTATCTTAATTTAACTAATTAGATGCTCGTATAGAATTCTACTTGTTAATCCTAGATGGGTAAAATAACTAGAAATTCCTATATATTCCAACATTAGTCGAGAAAACAAATATTGCAAGTAGAGGGTTTTTTTTTTTTTTGCAAAATTTCTACACCTTGAACGGTACTAGAGTAGGCATGTCTTTTTTTTTTCTTTGGCCTTTTTTTCTGTACTAGTTACTATGCACAAGGTTTTAAATGAAATGTAAGAGAAGAACGATGTGCAGGTTGCAGAGAAATGAATGATTGAATAGTTAGCTGGAGTATGTGGGAATGGAAGTGCAAGGGAGCCTGCCATTGCACCAGTATCTCATAATTGTAGAGGAGCAGGGAATGAACAGAATTTCTATAGATGGCACAAGAAAGCAAAGAATGATATTCTCTACAGAAGTAAAGCTAAAGACCAGGTACGTCGGAAGCAAAGAACCGTACTCTGCATGCTTAAGGAAATAAAGAAAAGAAACAAAGGGGAAAACTTGCTGTAAGGATTAAAAGCCCAATTAATGATTAGCCGGGCCATGTCTTGTAGCAATCTTTCCCAACAATATGACTATGACTAAGATAATTGTGATAGTTAACCGGTGTAGCAAGAGTTATATATTTTTTGCCTCACCTAGACACATAGTGTTAACCAACCTGTAGTTACCTGAATTCTTTCGTATTTAATTAGACACTCCTTGCCAAAACATAATTTAATGCAGCTTCTAAAAATTCTACCACCTGAGTTCTTTCGTATTTTATATCATGAAATAATCTCCTAGAATAATTCAATGATGTTGTATTGATGTAGTCTATCTATATACTTTTCCACGTATTATTTGGTTGAGGTATAGAAGAACTGAGAAAGCATATTTAGTGTGCATTGGAATATGCATGAGTGTACAAATACTCGTAAGGTTGACATTTTTTTCTTTTTAAGCTAAACATTTAAGAAACTTTTAATGGTCAAAAGTTTCAAAAACCTAAAAATCAAATACTTTTTGACCGGAGGGAGTAACCAAGTCAGCGCATGCCACGTCTACCTACCTGAAAGTTCATAATTACACCCTATGGGTTCTAGATTAAATATACAAGAACAGAAAAAATGCAAGATTTGCGTCCATTTTAGCATATAGGTTTGTGTTTCCTACCTTTGGTTATTCTCAATAAATGCAAGGTTTTCTTCATATTTTGCCACATTTTCTTGTTTAAATTTCCTACACCATTCATCTTAGTTTTTTCATCCTACATAGCCAATCAACACCTTGGGGCTCAACACCTTGGGGCTTCATGCATGTAAAAGTAACTTTGATAGTTTACAGCCCCTACTACTGCATCATTTTTTCCTTTTGCTGAATGATATAGTGTTTATTACCTCTTCTTTGTTTGTTCCTTAGGGTGAAACGTCGAACGGTGAACAATTGGGGAAAAAAATATAGTAATTGCTTCTTTCACCAAGACAACAGTAATAGCAGCCCTCAATCTGATAATGGCTTGTTCGTATAATTCGTCTCTGCTTGAAAAGCTCCTGCTAGATGCTCCTGAGAAAATGGAGAAAAGAAAAGAAATGAAGCTATAAATCCTTTGGTACACATAGTTTTCAAACTGGCAGAATGTGGAACAAGAAAAGAGATACTTACTTACCTGGCAAAGTTGATTTGGCAATGTAATTTACACTTCGAGAAGAGTACAAACAACGAACAGTTTGAAAGATATCAAAACAGAATTGGAAACCAATTTTTTAAAACTTTTTTTTGTTTTTTTCATCAATAACAACAGATAGAAACTAATATGGATGGAATGGAACTAGTAGACGAGTTGTTTTTCTTTTTTTTTTGGAGTGGTTGCTATAGACAACGGTCTAAATGACAAACAACGAACAGTTTGAAAGAACAGTTTGAAAGATATCAAAACAGGACCGAGAAACCAATTTTTTAAAAAACTTTTTTTGTTTTTTTCATCAATAACAACAGATAGAAACTAATGTGGATGGAATGGAACTAGTAGACGAGTTCCTTTTTTTTTTTTGGAGTGGTTGCTATAGACGAGGGTCTAAATGACAAATAACGAACAGTTTGAAAGATATCAAAACAAAACCAGAAAACCAATTTTTTAAAACTTTTTTTGGGGTTTTTTCATCAATAACTACAGAAAGAAACTAATGTGGATGTAATGGAACTAAACTAATGTGGATGGAATGGAACTAATAGATGAGTTTTTTTTTCTTTTTTTTGTGGAGTGGTTGCTATAGACAAGGGTCTAAATGAAGGCTTAAGAGAAGAACGATGGGTTGCTTGCAGTGAAAATGAATGGCTAGCTAGGAAGGAATGGAATTGCAAAGGGAGCCTACCATTGTAGTAGTCTCTCATATTTGTAGATGAGCAGGGCATCAACAGAACAGGACATTGTCTAGGTGACACAAGCAAGGAATGATATTCTAAAGCTAAAAAGCCAGATAATATGTCGGAAGCAACGAACCTATGGCCTATAATGCTAAAAGAGATAAAGAAAAAGAAAAGGAGAAAAGAAACAGAAGGGGTAACTTGTCATGTGTATCTAAAGCCCGTTTAATGTGATTAGGCAGGGCCATGTCTCTATAGACTACATCAATCTTTGTAAGTGATCATAAGCAGAATAACAGCAACGGTTAATCGGGAGGCAAGAGTTTTTTTTTCCAGCTACCTGAGTTTTGTCATACACCTTCCGTTTCTTAATATTTAACCAGTTTTAATTTTTCCATTTAAACTATGACACTATTAGTTACCTTTATATCGTTAAACCAAAGTGAACAAAAGTTTTTATTTATATTAGTACATACCTTACTTTAATAACATAACATCATTTTTAGTACTTGTGTGTGTGTAATATCAAAGTTCGAAAATAAATAATGCACTGTGCACAGGGTGATCAATTCTTACGAAACAGAGATAAGAGTAGTATTTAATTTGACACTCCTTACCAAAATGCGCTTAAGTGTAAAAAGTACAATCTCAAGTGCAAGGCTTCGGCTATAACTGAAATTATATATCATGAAAGAATTTTCAAAACTGTTAATAATGTTATATTGTAGTATCTACATAAATTTTTACCTGTAAATTTGTCGTGTTTTTTCAGAAAACATTAGTTGTGTTATTATAGATGAAGCGTTACATATTTCAGTTTTGCCATTGCTAAATTACCCTCGGTATATTTCAATAGTAGAATTAGTTTTGACATTTCGGTAGTGATGATAATATAAACTAGGTGATTCTTCGCGTTTTGTTGCTGAAATTACTAAATAATTTTTAATATTTTTTAATAATCGAGCTAAGAGTAAAAAGAAAAAATTAATGAAAAAAGAAAAAATAATGAAATAACAATCGAGTAGCAGTAAAAAGAAAAAAATAATGAAATAACAATCGAGCTAGGAGTAAAAAAATAATGAAATCTAGGATTTATCAGTACTTTTCATGAAACATAGTGAATGATGATGTGATATCCTTCTTTCTTACGCCAGCCAAGTAGCAATCAGAAAACCAATCAATTTTCCTTACACTACGACAATTCACTTGAACTACCAACATCACGAGTGACTCATGCCAGTCGTATATGCGTCATTTCTTCTCATCCTTGTCTCTAATTGTTAATTACTCGCTACCCGTAGTAGGCCTTGAGTAGGATTTAAGCATGAGTTCCGAACCATCTACTTCTCCTTATCCTTAGGGTGAGTACAATAGAGCGATAGCAGCAGGCTATACAAATGCCACGTCAGTTTTGATGCTGAGCTGGCGAAGTGAAAGTTGGAGAGAGAGCGTACGCGAGCGACTAATTAGTCGCCGGCATCTCGCGCGTTCCAGGACACATCCACATTAATATTAGGGTGTGTTTGGATCCCAGCCATTGAATACCATAGCTACAGTATTTTCGTCACGCTACAGTGTTTTCTGAGGCGGACGAAACGTCCGCCATACTCCTGTGGCGAGCCACGCCGTGGCGTGGCATTCCAAGCCGCCAACCAAGCAACCCCTTAGTCTTTTGCACTCTATACGGCTCACGCCGACGTCCTGATGCTGCTCTTGTGATCGACAGTGCTGGTATTTTAGATATGAGATTAGAAAAGGAGAAGAAACTTTTTAGGGAATTGTATGCTCACAATGCTATCTGTCGTTGTTGTACATATGCTATAGTTTGGCTGATTTGGCGAGTTTTGGAGCCAGTAGTTTATTCTTCTATTAAACTTGTTTTAACAACAAGTTTAATAGTATAGCCAGCTACTAGCTCTAAATTATTTATAGTCAATTTAATAGCTAATTCATATAATAATTAGCTACAAAATATACATACACGTTACTAATTGGTCCCACATATCATACACACACAACGTTTTAAAGTTCGTGCTGCAGCTGGCTACAAATCTGTAGCCTGCTTCTTTTCTCTCTCCTCTCTTATCTTCTCCGTATAAGTTTGTAGTCAACTTATAGCTTATTATTGTACCTGCTCTAATGGAAATTTAAGAGAGAGATCACTCCGCTAAGTAAACGAGACAGAAGATTCGGATAAATATGTCGTATCCTATTTAAAATAGAGGCAACGAACCGATTCAGGTATGTCATACCCTATTTAAAATAGAGGCAACGAACCACCAATCCATTAGAGCTTATTTAATATTTAATAGTATATTTAATAGTATATCCAACAACTCGCTCCAATTAATTTATAGCCACCAATCCATTTGAGCAAGTTTAATAGTATATCCAACAACTCGTTATCCAATCATTTATACAATAGTTATTTATAAGCATATATTACACCATTAATATATAGTCCTACTTTTTATATACACACAACATATTAACGTCCGTGCTGCAACATAAGTCGTTATTTATAAGCATATATTATATTATTTATGGTATTAATATATGATCCTACTTCTCATATATACACAACACATTAACGTCCGTGCTGTAGCTGGCTATAAATCTATATATATACACAACACATTAACGTCCGTGTTGTAGCTGACTATAAATCTATAGCCCGCTTTCATGATATTGAAGTCTGTTCTTAGCCCGCTTCCGCTTTCTAGTTGCCCGCTTTTCTCTCTATTCTGACGCTAGTCGAAAACCAACGCTTTAAGACGCTATCGGAGACTAGCGATTTCTATTGCTGCGATGCTTAATATGCCCGCAACTTCTATTGCTGCAATGATGATTGGAAATTGCAAGTGGTAGTAACTTACACAGCAAAAGAATAGGAAATGCAGCAAAGATAATAACTAGCTTGCACTGAACCTCACACTTCTGAAAGAGACTCTTGATGTTTCAACTATCTACGAGAAAATAATCACTAGGTGATCAAGAAAGTGATTATATGTCAGGCACAGCACACAAATAAACCCAACATGACTAACTTCTACTGTCCGTGAAGTTCTAACCATTTAAGCAGGGGTACCAAATCATCATCTGCAGGGAGCATAGGCGACATGAATCTCCTATTATACACTCAAAAAACATAAAAGCCCAAGTTCTCGAAAAAGGAAAAAAGCAGCCGCCAAAATGGCCGCGATAAGACGTCAAAATCAAAGGCTTATGTTGTGTCTCATGTCTCCCTTCGGGACCTCCGGCGTGGGGCAGCAGCTCCATCCTTCTCTTCCTCTTCCTTCTCGTCCTCCTTGCCACCGCTGCTTCCAGCTGCTTCGGACTCGGTAGACTTTGGTTTTTTGACCTCGGCTACGGGCTTCACAGGAGCCTAGGGAATGCAAATCTTACGATCAGCCATTGTTGTTTAACTACCAAACGAGGAGAGCGGAAGCATATGTATGTTGTGAGAGTAACTTACCGCTGGCTTCTTGCCGCCGAACAGGATCCTGAAGAGCACAGTCACAAAGACGACAACGATGGAGACCAGAATTCCAATGGTGATGTTGGGCTGCTTCTCTCCCTTCTCAATTACATCCTGTGAAGGGAAGACGAAGGTAAGATGTCACCTTCCAGAAGGATAAACCTAACAGCTAGTAATCCACCGTAAGAGCTTTGAACACAAAAGAAGTCACAGAGGATAGAAATTCTTACAATGATCTTAGTCTTGTAGGGTTCCAAGAATGGAATGTCAGCGAGTTTGTACAGAACGTCAAAGATCTTCTTCTGCAATGTGCATGGCAACTCAGTTACTCACAACATGAAGCCAGTATATTCTACATGTTGATGGATAAACTAACAAACATACAGCAGAGGAATATTGGAAGAATATATTACCTGGAACTCAGAAAGACCATCACCTGCTGCCGCTGCTGCCTCCTCAGCCTTCTCCTTCTCCTTCTCTACTTCGTACTTGGGCTTCCAAGACTTCTCCAGGATAGAAGTGGCAACCTTCTCATCATCAGCGATCAAAATGTTGTCAAACAGGATGCCATCTTGCATCGTCCAGATCTCAATCCCAATAGCGGCAATCGGATCAGAGTCAGGCTTGTCAAGCTCGAAGTACTCAGGGTTGGGGATCTCTTGGGGCTTCCAGATTCCTTTGTAGTTGGGGTTGTCGATAAGAGGCGCATGCC